TCATGCAGTTGCCATAACAGAGCACTTAATGTGTCCACCGAACAAGCTGAATAAGCCCCCCCCCCCAAGTCTCTGTCTCTTCACTAACTTAACATCACATCCGTTTGGCAGACGCTTTTGTCCAACGCCACTGACAATAAGCGCATTCAAACTCCTCACGAACGAGGAACAAGAGCTCTAACTGCGCTGTAGGGATTCTGGGCCATATTTAAATAAAGCTTTATGTAGTGTGAGCTCAGGCCTCGTCTGCGAGGTCCTGATGGATCAACTAATCAACAACAAAGCAATGTCATTTAAATATCAATTGATCTGCCATTGATTTTATGGATTAATTGATTTATTATTTAGTCTATAATATGGTTTCAAATAGTCCAAACAACAGTCCAAAACCCTAAGATATTTAATTTACTATCATAGAAGAGAAAAAGCAAATGTTCACATTTCAAATTAAATTAGTGAATCTTTGGTTATTTAAATAGTTATTTTCTGTCAATTGGCTATTCGATTAACTGAACCCTCAGACTGAACTTCTGATAAACTGACAGAATGCTAAGATGTGAAGTGTGTTAAAGATAATAAATTACAGCTACAAAATATATATATTTGATAGTGGATTGTGATTGATAGTACCTTAAATTGAATACCACTGATTATAATACCAACGTTTTACTTGATTGCTTTACGAAAAGGCTACAGAGACTATTCAATTAGCCTTTAAAAGTCTATATTTATGAAAGTGTGCACCAAAAAAAAATCCCCATACCACTGCGGTCTAAAGGGACAAATATGGCTATAAGAACTTCAGGGCAGGAGCTCACAGTCTGCAGACTGGAAATAACACAAGCTTTCAGTTCACAAGAAGTGAAACTGATCACAGAGCGGCACACGTGGAAGATGAGAACAATTATGATAGTGATACAATGGGTGAGTACGGCTCTGTGCACTAGGGCTGCAATGAATCTATCAAATAATGTTTTGATGTTTTCCCAAATTGGTTTTTATAAATTGTCAGAAAATATATAATATATATAATTTAACCAAATATTACAATTTAAATGAATTTAAAACAGAGAAAAGCAGCAAAGCCTCACATTTGAGGAGCTGGACCCAGCGCACGTTTATCATCTGTGATAAATGACTTCACATTGAAGATGCCCTTCAACTGAATCACTTTCTCTCCAGTGGACGTGCACGAGTCCACTGATACCCCATATCTCAGCCGGTGAGTCGTACCTGGTTCCAGACAACCCGTGGCCGCCGTCCAGCCCATGACAGGAGGTATCGCGCCCACCACTGCTCCCACCCAGGTGTTGCTGATGCTGAGCCTCTTGAGCGGTGTGTAGCAACAGGTGTAAAGAAAGATGTTGAGTGCACCCAGGAAGCCCGTCAAGGGGTTCACCGCCAGAGTGAGCAGGGCGACTCCGGGAACTCCACAGGCCAGAGCAAAGGACACTGCATGGAGGGGACTGATCAAAGGGAGGATAAGAAGACAAAAAGAAACAGAGGGAGAGAATGTGAGAATCAGCTAAATCAGCAAGAGAAGGAAAACATATAAAGGCGAGTTTAAAAGATGAGTTTCAGATGTTTTCTGATAAAAAGGGAAGTTACAAAACAGATTCAGGCTCAGACAAAGGCCCATCACCATCAGCCATGGGAAATATGGGATGATAAAGTTTTGTGGGCTTGTGCAGACACCAGATAAGAAAATGATAGCTCCACATGTTTAACACAGACACGCAGACCCATGGGGGCCACACACTGACAGCAGCTATCTCAAAACAGGAGGCTTAGGAAGCTCATCTGATAAGAGTTTGTCAGGAATAAAAGTAGCCCTGCAAGACGAGGAGCATGTGCACACGCCAGAGATCAAAACTAGCTGAAGAAAACCACTGCGGCTCAGGCTTTTAGCCGGATGAAGACTTCCTCCTCCTCCTCTTCCCCTCATCTTTTATTGAAAGCAGTGATGGCAAGGTCTGGTTCAAATTCACCAGTAAATGCTCCATAAATTAAAGAGAGGGTAGATTAAAATCTTGACCAAACGCAGGCTTTTTCTTCAAAAAGCAAACAGGGCTTTTATTTTGGTGGTGTGGCCGAGCAGGGAGTTTGGTACATTAATGTGATTAGTGGTGTTATGTCTGTTTTATGTGGGCTGAGGTGGGGCCGTGCAGGCTGGCTATGGGCTGTCGACAGTCTGTCTGTGGGCTGGCTCAGTGGGGGTCAGGGGAGGGAGTGAGTCACATGGCCTGAGGTGGGTTTACTGTCCTCTGCTTACAGTCCTCTGCTTACAGTCTGACACAGTACTGCTCCTGTGTCAGGTGAGTAATGTCAATACAGAAAGCCAAAGATGTGGCCGTCTGGTTAGACCACAATCGAGGCCAGGGATCCGAATGTAAAACACCAGGGATTTACCCATTAGGTTAAAAAAACAGGATGATTCAACTAAAAACTTAGTTACCTGTTAAATATTCAAGTGGTCAGAGAGGAGAGCAAAGAAAACAATTCTGAACTTTCAGAATGTGTAAGCCCTGCTTTAAACACAGTGGCTTCAGGGAATGGTGTAACAGCAGTAAATACTGAAGGCACAAGGACTATTTCCACAAAGGAGCACATACTGAATGACTAATCCTGCAAGAGCATTTGCATATGTTCTAGCACCAAAACAGACACGCATCAAAAAGAGTTTACCTTGATCATTTATGCTGAGATTTGTGTGTGAACAAAGAAACCAAAAGATTTTGCTACATTCGGATAAGATGGTAAACTATGCAGAGAGCAGAAGGTAAGTGACATTCAGAGGAATAAAGTGAACTTAAACTGAGCTGCACTAAGAGCTAGATTAAATAAATTATAAAATTATTCACAGCACACTGCACTGTTTGTTATCCAGTAATATTCCTAGAGCTACATCAGTCCCGATTCCTGCAGTAAAACACTGTTAGTTAGTTCCTGACCTTGGACATAGTTTGTTCGTTGTCTGTCCCCACCTTGATGAAACTGTGCCTTCTCTTACCAAGCTGAAAGCTATTCAGGCCTCACCACATGTGGAAGCCTCAAACTCTGCAATACCACTACAAAGGATGAGAGACTGTCATCCACGTCTCACACAAGAACAATAAAAGGTGGGAAAGATGATACACTATTGTAGTCTCGGCATTACATTAAAAAACTATTTCCGATGCTGACATCATACTGGTCAGACAGACTCCCGCAGTAAGACAGATGTAGCGGAGGAGTGTCATTTGGCTTATACAAAGCGAAGACAACATGGATAATGTGTAAAATGTGGCCTCCTGACGGTTTGTTTGACAGGACAGTCCAGCCTCCCATCTGCATGCTGTCTCTACGCAACATTGTATGTGCGAGAGAAGACGGGAGAGACAAAGAGCGGGAGAGCTAGTGTTTCTACGCGTCTCAGAGACGGGCAGACACACACCTCTTGACGGAGACAGGCTAAAAGCCAGAGAGAAGAGGCTGTGTTTAGACAGAGAGAGTACATCTTCAATCACCAGCTCAACAGCATGAGAGTCCACTTTTAAACAGCGTGTCAATGGAGAATTCCTGAAACTGGAACGAGATAGCTGTGGGTCAAGGGCCAGTTATGGTACTAACAGGCTGTTCACTTATAAAGTGACTAGCTGGTATAGGCAACAGAGGTATTTAGCTTCCAAGTCTTGTTATCTGTAAGCCGATTGGTTATCTGTGTGCTGACTCGACAGTTGTGGAAGGTGTTTAATCCTCTAATGTCAACAGGTTGCTTGCTTTTGTTCTCCTTAAATAAAAACAAAAAGGAGAGATGAAGAGGTTTTCCTGAAAGAGTGAAATTCCAAGGAGGCAGTTTCCTGGCAAGGACAATGAGAGTAGAGGACATGTGGTTGGTTGGGGGGTTTTTTTTAGGTTCATGCATCAGTGAATATGTGTGCGTCTGCCTGCTGCTTAAGGGTGGCAGTCTCCCAAAGGGGCAGGTAGAGACGAGCATATCCATTCACTGAGTCAGATTTGTAAGAGCGTGGCAATGCGCGCAGTTCACCGAGCACCAATGCCGAGGTTATCTGACATCTAAACAGTGGGAGCAAAGTAAGTGTGGTCAGGTAAATTACACCACAACCCAAACCTCAACCTCGTCTCTCCTCCTTCCCAACCTGGCAACAAGCTCACGTTACACCTGACAGGTGTAAAGCAGAGGATCGTCACTGCTGGCATGCATTTCCGTTTTTGGCATCTACGGTCTCTGGCTGCTGCTCCTCTACATGCACAGCTCCGTGTCCGCTTCAGCAACCGTAACAACTCAATAAGTACAAGTGAAACACAAGGTTGTAAATCAATATGGGATGTGTGCTCAGTACTACTGTTTTATTTAAGGTATGATCTTCATTATGATATTGCCTGCAAATACCCATCTGCTTTGACATGTTAGGTTATGTTTCATGACTGGAAAATGTCCCTCGGCAAGACTAGATTCAGTTACAGTAGCAGGCTGTCATTCATCCAGTATGAATTGTACGAATGGCAGCACTTGGAAGGCTTAATAGCAGTCAAGTAGTGTTGCTGGGCTGTTGCTATATTCAACTGAACTCCAACTCATGCTGAGCTGTTGCTGAGCTGTTGCTGAGCTCCTCCTGTACACACATTCTGGAGTCACTCTTTGCAGTCTTTTAAAAGTAATAAAAAGTGCAGATGGGGTTGCTATGCCAAATCTTTCATACAGAAGATCATGAGATCATCGCTAAGTAAATCCAAAGACAGAAGAACTGTACCTGATTTGTCCTCTGACAAGTGGTCGGTTCTTTGTGCGGTTCATGTTGGAGTCGAAGGGCACCTCGAAGTACTGTGGAGACAGAACAACAAGTGGGTTAATACAGGGGAAACACAAACACGTCCATCTTTTTCCATGCACACCACACAATATCATAAATGTCTGCAGGCAGCACAGTAGATGTAGTTGTGCTCTTGCACACCTCCTACACTGCAGCTCAAAAACTACAGATGTGGTTTAGAAGTTATGTGTGCAAAGGTTGGGCTGAGATACAGTACACAAACACAGGTGCAATCAGTTTGCAGATGCAAAAAAACAAAAAGGTGTGAATGGAAAGAAACATCCACTGTGGTATATTTGTGTCTCCCTTTGCCAGCACGGTCTCCGGTGTTGGTCGTGTTAACACTCACGGAAACGTAAAATCAACTTGGTAAACTTATGATGATCACAGGACTTCCACCGTGGCTGCCTCTGTGCGTCTTTTCTATGCAACATCTGGAGAGAAACAATGTGAGGGGAGCCGCTTAAGGCATGGTCAGAGCAACTCTCTGAACCAAATGCTCACCCTGTACTTCTGAGTGAGTATATGGACTGGAGGTGGAAGGTGGAGGCAGTGAGCTGTTGGGTGGGTGGGTGGAGGTGGTGGTGGTGGTGGGGGGGTGTTCGGGGATACAACTATGTGAAAAACTACTTATACTCCTGTTTTATGATCTGCTCTGGAGGAGTATGCTTCAAAGTGCTCCCATGAGATTGGCAATGTGTGACTAAAATGCAAACACATGGGGTGCTTAAACGCAGGAACTGGCTAATCTGTGTGTGTTTGTGTGTGTGTGTGTAAGCGAGCAAACGCACATAGATGTATGCATTTGCTTGCCCGCGTAAGAGCCTTTGACTAATGAAGAAAACAGATAAAGCACTTAGACCATGGAATATCAAGATCCATCGTTGCTGATATATGGTTCACATAAAAAAATCTAATAAACAGATAATCCACTTTTCTCTTCTTAAACCCTAGTTCCCAGATTTACTGCACTCGTGACATCGGAAGGCCACCATATTATTAAAAAAACTCTTGGTGGAAGGCATTGGATTTCATTTCGTATAGATTTTTATTTTGAAGAACATTAAGGAGTGGGCTGCAACATTAAGGTCTGACGCAAGATATCTCACAATACTCAACTGGGACTTGGAGCCAAGAATACAAAGCACCAACTAAAAGATCAAACATGTTTGACAACAATTTGGCCTTCTTAGATGAGGTCTGGAGTTCGGTAGGAACACTCAGTTACTCCCAAACTTTGCCAAAATGCCAACCCTGCATCTCCACTTCAGCCGTCAGGTTCTCAGTCTTTGCATTACCCTGGTTTGCATGAGCTATTAGAGAGCTTCCTTAGGATTTCATTTCTATAAATGGATCTCAGTCACCCAGTGGAGCTACCCTTTAGTCAACATGTAGTTATGTTACTATTTTGAAGACAAACATTAGCATTAGTAATAAGAGAAACAGAACCATTGATGGTCATGCCTCCAACAGTTAGAAGAGTAGGTAAATGCATCTCCTTATTTGGCTCCAGTTACTGCTGAAATTGCAGTGGTACTAAAACCCCTCAAGCACCCAAAAACATTCAAAAATTCAAATCAATGCTGGAACAAGCTCTCTCCATATGCTCCAAAAACGCTTCCCCCTTCCGTCTTACATTCAGTAGTAGCGGAGCACTAGCTAGCTGGGTCTGACTGGACTGGGCCAGGCTAATGGACAGCTGTGTGTGCGGCTGTGGGACCCCAAGGCCCAGGCTGAGGTGTTAATTCTATTTCCTGGGTCAGGAAATGCGTCAGGAGGTCAGGGGCCGCATAAGAGAGAAATGCACTTTGTGGCCAGGCCAGAGCAGAGCGGTGCTGAACCAGGCCTCAAGCAGGCCCAGGGCCAAGCTCGCTGCAACACTGCTCACATAAAAAAGGATCCACTTAGTTTCCAATAACATCATCCCACATGTAAAGAAAAACCCAGATACTGTGCACAACGGTGCTCGGCGCATTGTACCCACAACACAGACATTTAAAAAGGCACCTGTACAGAGAGAGGAGAAACAAAGAGGAACTTTATTGGAGTGAGGAAAGAATTTCAAAACACCAGTTTGTTTTTGTTGCTATTGTTTGGTTGAACCTGTCGTGTGTGTATACGGATGATTTGATGTGAATGTCACAGTCCACCTCACTGTGTGTGTGCCCGTGTTGTCATTTCAGTTTGTCCGGTTCTGCTCTCGTTCCACCCTCTCTGCCTTTTAAGTCAGAGTGCCTCATCTGGTTCACATCAGTGGTGCTCTCAGCCTGTGTCATTATTTCCGCCCAGCACTGCCATGTGTTACAGTGATAGCATTAAAATAATTGGGCCATTTGTGTTTTGTGTGAATGCACGTGTGCAGCTACAGGTAGGTCTGAAGGTTTGGTTCAGAGTGCATCCGTTTGAAACCGACGGGTCTTCAACTGCATGGAGTCGTGGTAACTTGACCGTGTAATTAACCGGCAGGACATTGGATGGTTATAGCTCTTAGCAACAAGCTCAGTCTCCAGCAGGGAACATCTGACCAGTGTACACTATTTACAATGCCATTACTAAACGCCAATAAGCCTTTAATCAAACTGTCATAGAAATGAATCCTACCCTTATAGTCATGGTACATTAACGTGAATATTGATTAAGGTGAATCAGCTGAAAAATAATGAAATAAACAAAATTAAATTAAACCAAAAAGCAACAACTTTTCTTAGAGTTGTGGCAGTGCTATGAATATGAATATTATAATCAAATGTACATCACGATCTCAATAATGAGGACATAAATAAAGCTGTATTTTATTAGTATATTTTCCTTTATAATGCAGATGCATTGTAAAATCTTAACACAGCCTAGCAGAGGTCTACAATAAATTATTAAAGCAATATAAACATATTTGACAGCTGAATAGCTCTGCATTAGTAAATATAGAATGCATTACTTGAGGTATTTTTCTTTACATTTGTTAAAAATAATATGTTCTACTGTGTCCCCCGGTGTTTTGAATGACATGAACAGCATGAACAGTTCAAATTGAGTCTTGAAAATGTCAAACAGACCTTTGTTTATTTGTTCGCTTTAACCTGATGTAGCTCTGCTTGCATGACTCACTGACACACAATGACATATCTAATTGAAATGGCTGACTACTGTTTATTTAGTGAGCCCTGCAGTTCTCTCATGATTCACTCACTGTCAATGTTGCAGTGCAGCGGAGCAAAACAGGTCATTTTCTGATAGGTAGCATACCTAAAGCAATCAAAACAGGTTCAGAAATGGATGAATGAGTGAACTGGGCTTCAGGTAAGCATACTGTTTCATCAAAAACTGCCTGAATCCGTACAAACCCCAACCCTATGCATCAGCTCAGGATATACATTGTAAGGGTGACTGAACCGGAAGTTATGGAGAGTCGGCTGCTGCTTTCAATTATGAACAAAAACACATACACACATACACACACGAAACCCATAACTGTAGGGACAATTATCTGCCAGATGAAGAGGACGGAAAACAGGCGAGACCAAAGTGAGAAGCAAAGGAGAGGGGGTGTTCGGTTGCCAGATCCTCCGAGCTATCAAAGACAGAACGTGCTCTACCGCCAACCACCAGGGCTCAATTGATAACAGGCTGCAGGCAGGCATTTCCTATTCTCGTGTAGAAGCTATGAAAGATAAACTGGCTTTGTATCATGACATAATTGATGGTGACACTGAAGCAGTAGGCGTTTGAGGGCTGCATAGTTTCGACAAAGGGTGTAAAATGTTTAATTTCACTTACTGGAAATCTTGAACCTGTATTTAATTAAGGACAATGAACAAGACTGAATAATTGACTTTATACTCTCATTGTGCACCGGCCGCTCCTTGAGCTCCCCATGGGAGAAGGGTTGCCTTACCAACCCCACACCTCCTATCTGCCTGCAAAAACAACAATAGGAGGTTCAGTGAAGGTCAGAGAGGAGCGATACAGTAACTACACACTGTGCATTTACTGTGTTTACTCGAGAGTGCACAAGAACACACAGCTGAGCAGCTGTATGACTTTGGCTCACAGAAACATCAGCTGGCCTAAACAGCGCATCTCCCTCGCTCTGCTGAGGGAAACCCAGGTGCACGGGCTAAACCCAACAAAAAGACCAAGTCATCGCTTGTCAGAGTGTCACCTGTTTGCACACTGGAGTTGAATGGCAGACTCAAACATCCACAGGGGTGGGTGGTGCTCTGATGCATGCGAGCCAAGTCTACTTAAAAAAGCACGAGAGCTCTCAAAGCCCCCTTCAACACCAACTGTGAACTGTCTCTGATCAACCACTTGACAAACAAGAAGCCAAAGATTTACATAGATTAAGCTATCCTCAGAAGTTGATTCAATGGATCTGGCAGACATTCACAATGTTTTGATGTCAAATGAAAGAAAAATGGAACAAAACAGACAAGGCATGCAACCTGACTAGTCACAACACAAAAATACTGGTATGTCAGATTAAGGTTATTTCAAGGTGTTTCTGCAGTAGAAGCAGGGCTGCTGTTCTGTCACAGAAATGCTATTGATGTCCCTTGAGTCAAATGAATAGTCTTGGAGCTATGTGAGCAATGCTGTGATTTTACACCGTTTCCCTGAAGAACCTGTTAAACACTTCCAAAGTACTTATTAAACTGTTAGCTAGCAAGAACCTGTGTGTGCATCTGTATGGAGAGCAGAGGTGTTAAGAAATAGGTAAAAAGTAAAAAAAAAAAAAGATATCGAAGATATATGTAGAAGATATAATGAAGGCAAAATGGTAAGAGAACTACAAACTGGATTTTGGCATTAGAGTGTTTAAAATAAAGAGAGTACATCTCCATCACTTCATTTCTGTCACTGAGAAAATGGCAATGTTTAGTTCACACTATCTGCAGTGGAGGTGAAAGATAAAAACTGGAGACATGTGTCTGTCTGGAATGCTGCATATGGACAGCTGGCAGATGTTTCTTGGGTTCCTGGCCATCTGTGATCCTTTGATGTGATGAAATGA